CTCTCTCTCTCTCTCTCTCTCTCTCTCTCTCTCTCTCTCTCTCTCTCTCTCTCGCTCGCTCTCTCTCTCTCTCGCTCGCTCTCGCTCTCGCTCGCTCTCGCTCTCTCTCGCTCTTCCTCTCGCTCACTCGCTCGCTCGCGACACCCCTGAGATTTTCGCTCCCCCGATCGACCGTGCGTCGCGCTTACATCGCCGCGGACATACATCGTCGTTGAATGCGATTAACGGGCGCGCGTTAGCGTTAGCGCAAAAACACAGCGAGGAGTCTGCGACGACGACGACGACGAGACAATTCGGCGACAATCCCCGAGACTCGTGGTGAATCACCGCGGGCATTTCTCCGCCGCTGCCCCCGCGCGCGCGCGCGCGCGACCCCGACGCTTAGTTTTACTTTTGCGCCCGAGCGTTTACCGTAAACACGACGCGACGGGGAGAGACGCGGCGCAAAACGTCGCGCTACGCCGCGCAAATTGATCGAAGGCCTTCGAACCTGTTTACTCGTTTGATGGAATCTCACGGGGAGAGGAAGAAGGAACGACAATTAGTGCCGATGTATTTGGTAGTGCCTAGCAGGTGTTTTACGCGCGAGATAAATAATCCGGAGGAACGGGGGAGCGCGAAATAAATCAGAGACTGTCTGATTTATGCGCCAAAGGTCTTCTAATTTACAACCACGGAATTAATTACCCCGTTAATCTCGCCCCGTTTTAATCGGCGAATACTGAAGATGCATCGGTCTGTATTAAGTTGAAAGTGCGAAAGATTTGTCACTTTTCTCATTGAAATTCACGTAGGAAGTTTGACTGTTAGAAAGAAAGTAAAAGAATCCTCGTTAAATGTTCATTTCATTTCTAAGAATTATTAATTCTTCGAAATTGCATCATTTTATTTCATTTGGCAAACACCAGAAATCTTTTGCACCAATCTGATACGTCGGGAAGCTGTCTGAATTAAAGATACGCTTGGGTATTAGAAGGAGAATAGGAAGGCCTCGACGTTACGCCTTAGACGTTTACGAAAACACCGAGTCGATGTTCGTGTTTAATTTGTAAAAATTATTAACCTTTCGAAATTGGATAATTCCATCTTCTATTTTGTTTGATAACTGCAAGAAATTTTTTGTACCAACCCAGTACATTTGGAAGATGTCTGAACTAAAAGTAATATTTGTGAAATCGTTTTTACGACAAAACGAGTTGAGAGTATTCAAAGATCGCAAAATCTTGCAAATTGCGGAAAATCTGGTCGTATTTCCTGTAAATTGTATCGCTAAGTTCTTCTCGTTTTCGAGAGTTTTTGAAGATACATCGACACATTCACCGGGAATTTGTCCGAATTTAAAATGCGCGTACTTGTTTGCGGGATTATTTTCGCGAATTAAGGGTATTCGAGAATTCCAGATTCGTATGCGAAACGAAGTTTCATATCCTAGTCAATCGATGTTTCAGCACTGCAATATTTCGCCGACATGTTTTGACGTTTAACGAAGAGGTTAAATCATTACGCGCCGATGTGCCTCGCTTGCTCAATACGCGCCGCGCGAGAGGCGATCTTTCTGGGTCGAGCGTCTACAGAGATAGAGAGAGAGAGAGAGAGGGGTGGAGGGAGGGTGAGAGAGTACCGTGAAATTGATCGTTGCCTTAGTACTCACGGAGAAACGTTATCCCTGTCTTGAAAAAAAATTCAGCAGTTGAGTGGATAATTAGCGAAACGTGCTGTCGTGATCAAAACATTTCTACTTGCTGCGTATCGTTATCTACATATTGTTATCTTACGTTTCACTACCATCTCAACAATGTTTCTTATTAACGTCTCATGTGTCTCTCTTAAAAGTTTCAAAACGGGATGAAAAATCCATTTCGGGAAACGAAATGTAGTTTTGTTACTATCGTCGATAGTATCGAAAATATCGTCAGGAAAGTATTGTCAGAAAATAGCGCGTGTTCCAGTCGGCAATACACTCCCTTATTAACATCGTATTGCTCATCGACATCTCGTTCCGCAAAAGTCGAATTCGAGCTCGAGGAAACGATCTCGCGCGAGTCAAACGCCGCTGTTATCATTCCCGATAACCACGACGTGAGGTCGCGCGGTGGCCGCTGTCCCGGTTATTTCCGAGTGGAAAGACGCGCGTCGAGGATCCCGGAAGGAAGGCCGAAGTACCGGGAAAAACGGACCTCGCACGCATACACGCGTGCATCATCTACCGGGCGATTCGTTCGGCACGTATAGATCGCGCGAGCCCGGCGATAAAGAGAAGGAAGGAGGCCGAGAGAAGGTGAGAGAGATAGGGCGAACAGAATGAGGGAGACAGACAAGCTGAGGGTAAGAGAGAGAGAGAGAGAGAGAGAGACATCGAGCGAGTGGTGGTTGGCGTTCGGGGGTGGTTTTCGGGCCGACGGTGAGTCCTGAGGGATGAGGGACGACGAGGGTTGCCAAGGCAACCCTCCGCCAGCCTCGGCTTACTTTAGCCCGCGCTCGGATCAATACAGCATCCCCGTGAGCTCCCGGACCAAACGCGCCGCGACCCCTCGTCCCCCTGCGCCGCCACCGACCCCCGCACCCTTCCCGCCACCCAGGCCGCCCTCGCCCAGGCCCTTTCTCCGCTCAGCCACTCCTCCTTCTCCTTACGTGCCTCTCCACGTGCGCGTTACTGTCGACCGTCACAAACC